TCACTCATAAAGGCACAAAAGAAGCTTTTGCATCATTTAAAAAGCGTGCACCCGAGCTGCTTACTGTGCTGGCCTCCTCCATACTGAACAGAACCGGAGGTCTCACGTCTGAGCCGTTCATACAGGGAACGTTTTTACTGGAGAACTTCAGACGAGATCTGGAACAAACAGAACAAACAAACATGACTGAAAGCAACTCAAGCAATTATTGAGCCTGACTTAAAACAAGCCTGGTTGTTATTACACAGTAATAACTGTACGAAATCATCCCCACTACAAGGACAAGTGTTAAACCAGTAAAGATCCACGCTACTGCACGGGCGTCTCACTCTGCTTTGAAGCCGTGGAGGGCCTCTTCAGTGTTCCCAGCTTAAGTCTGGGTTGACTTCATCGTCGGGAACAAGAGCTCTGCATCAGTAAATGTTCAGTAAGAACTGCAGTCAGATTTATGAATGCACCGGTGACGCACACACAGTGCACTCAGATCATAACTGTGGCGCCAAACACATTTTGCTTTTCCGAGATCTCCAAGACTCCTCTTGTTCAGGGTTGATCTGTTTGTTTCTCCATTTCTATTGCTGTTATTTCAGTTTTTACATTATACAGGTGGCATACAGCATGACAATGTCTAAGGCAGGACAGGTTGGGAAAGACGTAATAAAAGTACAAATAGAAATGCTAAATGTTAGGGATGCAACAATACCAATTTTTTCAAACCGATACGATACCGATACTTGGATCTGAGTACTTGCCGATACAGAGTACAAAAAATGATACTTCTACCACACACACACACACACACACAATGAATTGGAAGACAGGTTTTTATCATATTCCCTGTCGATAAAAAATAAAATCTTAAGCACTTCTGTTAAATGATTGCAGAGTCTCCACATTGTAATTTTACAAAATATCACTGAACTATCGGCACTGTCTCGAGCTTTCACAATAATAAATAAACACTTCTGTTTGGAATAAAATAAACTTTTAAATTATTGCAGAGTGTCCATATTGTAAACAAACAAAATAAAATAAAACAAATAATTATTATTCAATAAATAATACATAAAATAATAATTGGCCCCCTAGTGGCCAATCTAAAAAACTACAACAAAAATGACAAGCCACCCTCTGATTAATGAAGTTAGTATCGGTTCATGGTATCGGTTAACTGTTACGAGTATGAGTACACACACATTTTACAGTATCAGCACCGATACCAGTATCGGTGCATCCCTACTAAATGTTGCATCTGTAAGAAAAACAAACATTCAGCACCTGGAGCACAAAAATTAAAAAATACATTTAACTTGTGAGATCTAACCCGACTCAAACTGCTGACCTTCTGACTCGTGGACGACCTGCTCAAACTCTTGTGCAGCAGCTACTCCAAAAAACACATAAGTGAGCCGTCACAGCGTCTTAGCTAGCTCTGATGGTGAGATGATGCAGGAAGGAGCGTGCTTCACTGAGCCTGCATGTGTTTCTTACCTGCTCTTCTTATCGGCACCTATTTTGCCTCCATCCACCTCAGTCTCATTATCCTCTGTGGGGCTCTGAGGCTCTGAGCGAGGAAACGCCGTCTTCAGGGTGTCGACGATGGCGTTCACCACAATCTGCACGAGTAAACACACATGAGCTGTATTAATTCCATTTATTCAGGTTTATTTATCGAGCGCCAACAGCAGCTGCCACATCACAAACTGAAACCAGAGCAGGTTATTTCTTCCACATCAGCGCTGCGTCTCAGCAAACGAAGCACAAACACTCATGTGTCACTCGTGTTAGAATATTCACCTTGTCTATGCGTGACACGATGAAAGGTTTCTTGACAAAGGCGATCCTGGCGTCTGTGTTGAGAGCGAGAAATTCCTGCATCTCCTCGCTGTTGGCTATTTCAGGGATGGCGCACAGTTGCTGAGGAGGTTGAGACAAAAAGAAGCCACCAGAAATGTAGCAGCAGGCCAACAAACAACACGAGAGCACTACACAAAGGTTTTCCACCAACCTTTAGAAAGGTCTCCAGGAGGCCCTTCCTGGCTTCTATCTTATCACTGTCCATGTTTCCAAACGGCATGTC